GAGGGGCTGGACAGAAACTCAAGGAGGCGGTTGCAGCCTCTTGCCACCCACCCCAGCCCACCATGGGCCACACAGCAAACCCCGCTGCTGCCCAATCCTTTCCCTTGCTCTTCCGCAGGGAATCACTGCTGTGGCCTCAGACCCAACTTGGAAAATGTAGCATTCCTGCCCACCTTCCAACCTCATCGCCCACAACTCCCCAGCACACAGTCTTTTTTTTTTTTTTCCAGACGATCCAGATTCCTCATTGATCTCAACCCATGTTTCATGCTTTCCTACCTCTGTGCCTGTGCCCACACTACTTCCCCTCCAGGAATGCCCTCCCTTCTCCCCACCCTATATCCAAACTCACCATCCTTCCAGGCTGTGCTGGGGATACAGAGATGAATAACGGAGGAAGGGTCCCTGCTCTCAAGACAGTCATTAAAAAGTGACTGTACAATTTAATTGCAAATGGTAAAAAGCCTTCACTGCTACACCTGTGCTCACATCCGCTCCACCCCGGGTGCTGCCACCATCACCTAGCAGTGCTTAGAAATAACATCAGTGTCTCCTTCCACCACCATCTGCAATTAACAAAGATTCTCTTAAATCTTTAAGGCCTTTGACCAAAGCCCACTGCCTCCAGGGAATCTTCCAGAAAACCCCACTGTCGATGCAATCATTCCTCCTCAGAACATACCCCCTTGTTGGTTTCAGTGGACCCCCACCCCCACCTCTGTGGGCAGCCCTGTGTTGAATCTCACAGCTGCATTTACACAGTGAGTGTAACTCTGAACCCTACACTCTGGGGCTTCTGACCAAGTACAATCCCCTTCCACTTACACCAGGTGCCATAGAAAGACGAGGACAGTCTCCAGGTGCCATGTCATGGCAAGGTGTGGAAGCATCCAGTGAAGCCAGGAAGTTCATAAGGCCCATCTGATGCTCTAACCTGCAAGCCTGCAATGTTTCAATGCTGACTGCCCAGATTGAAGTCTGTGTCGAGCAGTGCCATTCTTATGGTTAAAGTCAGATCATTTAATGGTCCTTTTAATTTTTTCTCAAAATTATCATCTTGGGTAGTTTTTCTGAAATCTTTTCAATAGTTTGTAAGGGGGCTCTTGACAGACAAAACACCATATGATGAACAGATGCAGCATCAACCAGCAAAAATCATCTTGCCATTGACAGTCCCCCAGATTTTTCCAGAATTGGAACAATGAAAACTTTTCATGAATGACTTGTCCAAAGATAATTTGGTAGGACAAGGTAGACTCAGTGAGGAAAAGGCCTTATCAGGGTAAGGCTGTGTTCATAGTGGAGTAAAAGGAGATAAAAACTAAATCAAGTTCTGTAATTAAGACAAGCAGTGAAGAGGGAACAGTATCTCACAAAGGTGATGAAAATCCAGTCCAAGATGCAGTCACGTCTCAAAATTCTTGGAGAAAGTGCTCCACTTTCCTGGGGTGTTGGCTCCTCAGGGGACGTAAGTGCCCCACCCTGTGTTAAACAGGATGGATGGGAATGTGAGCTGGTGGGAAGCAGGGCGGCCTGGCTGCTGAGTGAAGTGGTGTCAGTGTTGCTGCCAGCCCACCACACTCTCCTACGATGATCTCACAAGATGACCACCCAGGCAGCTGCGGGGCGGCTGTGCACGGGCGGCCATCTGCCACACTGGGGACGATCTGCTCTACTCGGCCAACTGCTTTAGAAGCCACCGTCCCAGGTGGCAAGCCTGCATCCCACATCAGAAGGGCAGGTCTCGTGGTCCAAAGACTCACCTCCCTCGGTAGCTCGTCCTTGGAACACTCCACATACACATCCACATGCAGAGAGTGTTCAAGACTCATCCAACAGACCTATGACTGACAGTCCAGATGCTGTGGAGTAGAACACACAGGGAAGCCACGGCTTCCTCTAAGATGCAAGAACTCTCTCCTGCTGCTTCCAGTCAAACACCTGCCCGAGACCCCATCACCACAGACAGGACCTCTCATGGGTGAATTCAACACACGAAAGCCAATAAACTGGAAGAGAAGCAGGACCACTCACCAGTGCATTAAGAAAGTGGTCCTTCTCAGAGCTTTCCCTGTCAGAGCCAAGGTTCAATTCCTGGTGGGGGAACAAAAGATCCCAAAAGCTACAAAGCATGCTCTCCCCCTCAGAAAAAGTTTAAAAAGAAAGCAGACCTGGAAAATGGAAAGCTGTAGAAAATTACAGTTATTGTTTTAATTATTATCACAATTATTAACTTGAGGAGGAGGTGAAGGAGAGAGCTTCATTGCATCCTTACAAAAGAAAGCAAATAGTCTGGTGACCATCAGCTGCCTTCAGCCATGGAGAATGGGCTGCTAGAGAGCCTGGTCCCTTCCATCACACTGGGAACCTCCTTCCTCGAGGGGTTCCATCAGAAAACAACTAACATGGTGCAGGAGAAAGCCAACAGTAAAAGCTACCCAGTCATTGTGATAACATAGAAACACTATTGCCTATGGTATACGAAAATTATATCAAGTTGTTCTGAATAAAAACAAAACTCTCCAATTGTATACATATTCAGTGCATGCTCAGAAACTAGTACAACTGATGCAATAATTCCTCTGTCTCAAAATTAAAACAGGATCTCAAAGAAGTATAGGACAGAGGAAATAAAATCTTGATAATTGTTGAATCTAAATGGTGGGTATGTAGGAAGGTTCATTGTACTTTTCTCTCTGAAAATGTGCATTAAAAAATTTTTTTAACAAGAATTGTCAAAAATTCAGAGACATGTAACAATTACTGGTCCTACCACTTAAACACTGTGGAAGTCTTTGTGGTTCAGGTGACTGTTGATTCTTAGAACTACCCTCTTTGTAGTACATACAAAATAAATATTCTTGTGTAATTGCAGAAAAAAAAAGAAAGAAGAGAGGCTGTGGAAAGGGAAGAAGCGGGGGGGGATGGGAAGGGCAGAAAGAAGCAGGGAAGAGCACAGATTTAAGAACTGAGCTTCCACAGGAGCAGGACCGAGTTCCCATCATACCTTCCCATGTGTGACACGGGTAGGTTTGTGGTATTCTCTGTGCATCTATTTCTTCTTCCTGAAAATTAGGATACTGTCCTCCATAGGCTCGTTCTGGGGCAATAATTAAATGTAAAGTGAAAGTCTCTCAGTCATGTCCGACTCTTTGCGACCCCAAGGGCTATACAGTCCATGGAATTCTCCAGGCCAGAATACTGGAGTGGGTAGCCTTTCCCTTTTCCAGGGGATCTTCCCAACCCAGGGGTTGAACCCATGTCTCCCACATTGCAGGCGAATTCTTTACCAGCTGAGCCACGAGGGAAGCCCAAGAATACTGGAGTAGGTAGCCTAACCCTTCTCCAGGAGATCTTCCCAACCCAGGAATCAAACCGGGGTCTCCTGCATTGCAGGTGGATTCTTTACCAACTGAGCTATCAGGGGAGCCCATAATTAAATAACAGATGTTAAATATTCCACACATAGTAGGCACTCAAGGAACCCTGACTATTATTACTTTATAAGTCTTGGTGCTTTATAAAATAGTTACACTCAGGAGATGCTATGCTTTACAAAAGAATTCACCCCAGGGTCCCTTTAAGCTCCTAGCCCTGCTAGTGCATTTTAAACGGGATTGAGTTTGCAGAAACCCATTTACACAGGACTTTTCAAGAACGCAGCAGCCAAGGCACTAATGAAGGCAAGAAGATCTACAGAGAGTCTCTGGGCAGAATCTCTCAGATCCTGTCCAGCAGGATTCTCTGAAAGACAGGAAACTAAAAAACATCTCTGAAAACCCGCAAAGACCCACTGGCTGCCCTCTGGGAAGCCTTTTTTTCCATGCATATTTGGAAGCACTACGGTACCTCCAGCTCTGGATCCAGGCTTAAGAAGACAATAGCACTAAGCTAACAGCACTGGTTAACATTTACTGAGAGCTTCCTATGGGAGAGGCTGTGTTAATTCCTGTGCATTATCCTACAGAAGGCGATAAAAGCTAATGTCTGCATAACTACAAGTGCTTTCAGATGAAAAAGTTTCAGATCTTCCTCACGAAGATCTCTGTTGGTTGTTTTCTTTTTACCCAGATAGAAAAACGAGGCACAGAGCAGGTAAATCATTTGCCCAAGATTACCCAGCTATAAATGATGGATTATTGGAACCAGTCTAGCTCTGAAGTCTCCCCGTTGCAGACCCACTGCTCTGTGCCAGGTACCCTCTCCCCACCGGCACTGCATCCAGCAGTGACAGGACTGTAGGGCTAGGGTCCCTGCAGGAGGCCCCCCACTCCCCATCTCACTTAGCCCTCCACAAGCTGTTGTCAATTGCACTGAAGTATTTACAGCAACCAGCGACCGCTGACACCTCTGTCCACGTGGGCTATAATTTGATGCTCAAGCTGTTAAACAGCCGCTTTTGAGCGCTGAGCTCTTCACAATGAGTGTCTCTCCCAAGAGCCAGGCTGGCTGCCTCTCAGCTTCTCCTGACACTTGCACATCTCTCCTGCGGGCCCCAGGCATGCACACACACACACACACACACACACACACACACATGCCATGCCAAATACCCTATCACACACAGACACTTCCTCACAGGCACAGTTATCACAAAGTGATCTGAGTTCACTGTTCAGGACACACACACACACACACCCCCCACGTATGACACATGTCACAGATTCCCAACACACCCAGTTCACACCTCTGTTGTCATCAACACACAAAACACTACATGGGTAATGGCTGAGGATATCCCATGACTGCTAGTAATGCCCATCCCATACCCATTTCCATGAAATAAGCCCTCCCCACGTAATTGTTCATGGGAAAATAATGAACACACTCAACTCTGCATTAGTGTAACCAGAAAAACACTAAATAGACTTTTTCACTTACTTGTGCTAAATGTGGCTGTCACTTGGTTGTGCCTGTACCTGATCATTGTTTTATCTAAGTGGTGGGTGTATAAGGAATTCATTTTGCCATTCTCTCCACTTCCGCCAATGTTTGAAAAGGTTCATCCTGCTGTGTACACCTAAAGCCCTGACTCCACATCTGTGTGTGGGCGCCTACGTGTGTTGCAGGGTAGGTAAGGTGAGAGGTGTGCATGTGCTCACACTCCAGCACGGCTGCCTGTGTGTGTGTGTTTGTATGGAGCAGACCCCGCACTGTGACTCTGGGGCCGCCCCTCTCCCCGGGGAGTCTTTGCAGGGTAGGGCTGCCCTCTGCATAACTATCCAAGAGCAAACACATCAGAAACCAGATCCCCTCGCAGCCCCCATCAATGTAGCAATGGGAGGAGGGCTGTTCTGAAAGAGACCAGGGGCAGGGGATGAGGGAGGGCAGAGAAAGAAACGGGGACCTGCTGGTCCAGAGGAGAATAGATTCAAGAACACGCGCTCTTCTGTAATCACCAAGGAGATGGTCCAGAGCCGTGGACACTGACTGGTTGAGGGTCTGAGGAGGACCTGGGTTTCCAGCCCCTCAGGGGTCCTCTGAGGTCACCAGATCTGAGAGGATGGGGGTCAGCCTCAGCCCCCTTCCTGGAGCTGCTGAGGCAGGGTGCCTAGAGGGCTCCAGGAGACAGAGGCACCAGAGTGAGCCTGAGCTGAGAAGACGCCCCGCAGAGCGGCCTTCGGACAAAGGAGATTCAGACTGGATGCAGAGATGGTGGAAAGATGAATGAGGACAGAAAGAGAGGGAAGAACCAGAGGGGCAGCGAGAAGAGAAGAAATGTCTGAGTAGGATGGATAAGAAGACTGAGGCCAACAGGGGACCCTGGGCAGTGCTGAAATAAAGGACAGAAACCCTCACAGCAGGAAGGGATAAAAGGACTCAGGACCAGGGTCTCTCTGGCAGCCTTAGCAAGTCATTGACAAAGAGTGGATTCTGCCCTACCTGTCCAAGAATCCTCAAGGAAACCTTCCTGGGACCTGGACAACACTGTGAGGGGGGTGGGGGGAGGGGTGATTATCCCTCCCTCTTCAGAGCCCGCCTGGAGGCCCATGGAGGAGCAGGAAGCTGGTGGGAGGGAAGAAAAGGAAAACCTCCCAGTGGGGACAAAGGAGCAAAGGGACCCTTGAAATCAGATCAGAGTTCAAGTCCTGATGCTATTTCCCGTGCAACCTTGCAGGAGCCCCTTAACTTCTCCAAGTCTCATCTAGAAAATACAGATGCTCACCTCAAGTCCCCAGGTGGACCAAATGAGACGATGGGGATGGAAATACTTTCTAGCGAGGTCTGTGCAACTCTTCATTGATGGAGGCTGCCAGCAGGGGAGAAGCCATGAGACAGCATAGACATGACAGTGAACAATTATCTGCCAACAGGGACATTTTACTCTTAATACTTATGTGTGCTTCTACGTCCTTCTTCATCCCACAAGGCATTTGAGTTGGCTAAGAGGAGAAAATCAGACAGATTGACTGAAGGGCAGATGGGTGGACAGAGGAATAAAGACGGAGGCAACAAGAAGGCAAGAGACTTCTAGAGCAAAGGTCATTTCTTCAGACATTCAATTCAACCTTTCCTTGTCAAGCATCTTCTGTTTGGTTTCAGATGACTTTCCCCTGGTAGAAGCGTGGCAATGTCAGTCTACTCCTCTCCCTATTCCTTCTCCTCCTGCACACAAGCATTGTGCTCAGGCATGTCTGACTCTTTTGTGACACCATGGACTGTAGCCTGCCAGGCTCCTCTGTCCATGGGATTCCCCAGGCAAGAAAACTGGAGTGGGTTGCCATTTCTTCCTCCAGGTTTTCTTCCTGACCCAGGGATCGAACCCAGGTCTCCTGAACTTCCTGAACTGGCAAGCGGATTCTTTTACCACCTAGAAAGACCCCTGTGCACAAGACCAGACACTATTTCCTAGCTACCCTGCAATCAGATGGAGTCATGTGACTGGGTTCTGACCAAGGAAAGTGGTCAGAATGATATTTGCTGCCTGTAGACCTGGCCTTTTAAAAACTCACACATGCCCCCCACCCCACCCCGACTCTAAATCCTCCGCTCTCTTTCCTCCTCTGCTGAGTTTAGAAGATCCAGTGGAGGATGTCAAGCCATTAGAACTGGGGTACACAATCCCCAGAGGTCAATGATAGAATTTGCTATGTTGGAGCTTCATATATTTGGACGAGAAAATTCTTATCTTTATTTTTACTGAACCTCCAAACTGAGATTCAATATTATATTCAACTTCAAAGAGAGGCAACAAATTCCAATGGTATTCCCCATACCTGTAACTAGGTCACCCATAGAAGTCACAGTATTTTTCTAAATCATGTTAAGTAGCTGCCAAAATATCAAAAGATCATTTACACTGAAAACTGTTGAAGTTGTACTATTAATCCTTTTGCTATTTTCTATTTAACTTGTTATATTATTATTATTCCATCATATTACATAAAAATTTTTAATACTTTGATACTTGAATTTCAATATAATTATTTTATAGTCCCACGAATTGGATTTTATGTATTGAACATTTTTATTCTTAGGGGTCCTTTGGCTTAACCAGCCTGCCCAACAGGACCCACGACACACAAAAAAATAAGAATACCTCCTCTATAGAGTAATAGAGCCCCTAGAGGGAAGGCCCTGGGTCTCTGGATGATGTCCCCTGCCCTACTACCACCACCACTGATTCAACATTTGGATTATGAGGTGAATAAAAAACAATCTTCATTTGTTAAACTACTAAGACTTTGAAGACCTTTTATATACAGAGAGTAGTCTTTGTAGATCCGGGAAGAGTACAGGGTGGACTTCTTGGCTTGAGTTAACTCTAGACTCAGTCTTAGTTCTCCTAAATGCCCTTGCTGATCCTGGTATGCCCTGGATGCCCTCCCCTCAAACTTCTGCTGTCCAAATGCTCCCAAACCTTCAAGTCCCAGCTCAAATGCCACCTCTTACAGGAAGTCTTCCTAGATCTCCTCCCCATCCCAGAACTTCCTTGCCCTTGAATTGAAGCACCAGGCACTACCAACATTAGACTGTGAGCTTCCTCAGGGGTAAGACATTGGATAAATTCCCTTCCTGTCCCCCAGCTTACAGCCACCCCCCCGACAGTGGGCCCAGTTCAGGAATGATCAGCCATGGTAGGGCTAGTAAATGTTTGCTGCATGGGAGGTAGGTGAGTGGCCAGGTCTGTTTGATTCAGCTCTACTCCCTTATAACCTGGTCCAGGTCCACACAGAGTGTGCACACTTAGGGAAAATGGCATAGGCGAGGGTGAGGGGGCACTAGTGCTTTCCCACACTGGGGCCTCAAGTTCCCTTCTCTTGAGATTATTTCTGTTCAGTCTGGATTCCCAATCAACACATCTGTCCTCTAGGTCTCTGTAGTCTGGGTAGCCAGATGAGACTAGAAGTAGTTCAAAACAAGACGAGTCCGATGAAAGATGCCTTCTGTGGGTCCCAGCTGAGGCAGCCTCTTTGTCCCAAACCCTTGAAAGCCACTCTCTCTGCCCACTCCCCTCTCTCCCATCCCTCCCTCACCCTCACTCACACCAGGCAAGTGAAACCTCTGCCCTTGGACTGGGAGCATGTCTTTTCTCCGTGTAGCTCTGGAAGCTCAGACCTGCCCCTGACAGCTGCTGCACCATGGGAGAGTGGAAACGGTGCAGAGGTCTCTGGTCCCCTCTTTCAGAGGGCTCCTGCCAGCTCAAGCTCCCTTCAGAAGGGAGAAGAGAATGGAGATGAGCTGAAGTCCCTGCTGCCTTTCTCTCTTCACACTGTGGGGCTCACGGGCCCCCAGGCCCTGCTCTGGAAACTGCTGTGCCCACTCCCTCTCCCCCACCACACAGGGCACCAAACACCATCACTGCTCTATTAAGGGTCAAACTTCTGAGTAACATTAACTTCACTTGACTTTGAGCAATGTGACACATTTTGGGGGCACTTCCACAAGCAGGTGGTTAATTCATTCATGCAGGTGCCAGGCCTGTGTCATGTGCTGAGAACACAGTGATGCACTGGACTCAACTCCTGCCCTCAGGGAGCTCCCAGTCTGGTAAGGGAGGTAGAAAAATGAGTAGAAAACACTCTACAATAAGTTATTTAAAAGCACCAGGGGTTGTAGAAGTCCTGGGGACAGGATCTAACATCAGCCTTGGGGGATAGGGATGGAAGGCTTCCTGGAAGAAGTGACACCGGGGCTGGGAGCGAACCACGTATTAATAGAAAGGGGAAGAGACAATCCAATGCATGAACCTTTGAATCACTGACTCTTGGACTTATCAAAGGGTAGAATCATAGACATCTAGAATCATTCTAGTGAACAACAATGTATTGTGCCAGATGACCATGATGGGTAAAAAGATCTCAGAATCAAAGGAATCTTGTATCTCAAACTTGGCCTGGCTTCCATAGCGGCTCTTGAAGGGTAGACTGTCTCTTCCAACTCCAAGGACCAGGGGAGAGGAAAATGAGTTTGAAGTTTCCCTGAGTGTAAGAAAGAAGGGTGAATCCCTCTTGGTGGAAAGAAAGGAATTCTCTGGGATGGACAATGGCACAGCAGGAGGGGACCCTGGCTCCCTGCTAATGCAATGACTGGTAACCCAATGGTCAGAGCTCTGTTGTTAGGCGTAAGAGTCAAATAGGATGGAGTTTTGGGTGGTGGTCAGTCTCCCCAACAGGTTGTGGCCTGCCAGAGTGGGGAAGTGATTCACCTCCTAAATTATATCCTCCAGCTAGTCTCTCTCAAAGCCCCCTGTATCCTGCCTTCAGAGCCCATGTTACAGTTTTAATTAGATATGCACCTGTCTGTTTCTTCCTTTCCTGCCTAGATTATCACCACCTTACGGCCAGGAACAACATCTGTTTTGCTCACCACTGTATCCTCAAGCACAAAGCAGGTAATAAGAGACTTGCTGAAATGAATTGAGATTGATGAGTGGATATGGAAGGACATTTCAGCAAATGAGGGATGGCCTGGTGGTAAGCTCGTTTCATTTCACAGAGAGCAACACTGGGCCCACAGAGGATGGAGCTGCCCCAAGCTCGAGCTGCCAGTGTAGACAGAGAGGTGGGGGCAGGGAGGCCTGTTACAGGGTGGGAGCATCCACAGGAAGGCACACATAACCCTGGCCC